GGATAACACCCCACTAATAAATGCAACATTACAGAAAACATAGGAATATAAGGTGTTCTGAAGTTGGATTACCATAAATGCCTAAATATACCTCAAGTATAAGACAACTCCCACTTTCCCAATGAGAAGACCCCACCAAGTAGCTTTTTGTCCAGTTTGATAATGGAAATTTTGAGGAATTTAAAATTTAACAGCAAACAGTTAAGGCATAATATTTGCTGTCACATATGCATATTTAAAGTTACATATAAATTAATATTTAGAAATATTGCCATTTTTAATAAAAAAATTCATGAAGAAAAGGGCTTTTTTTGTTGTTGCTTTTTAGATGACTAGAAACATTGAAAAATATGACTGTCTTTTTTATCATTATAGCCATTTTCGAGTCATTTAACTTAGTTTTCCAGAGCAAGTTACCTACCGTTCTCCTAAGCTGACTATGACAATGCACTTCCTGAATACCTTAGAGATGTAATCGCTAGAAATTTTATTCCAATTGACAAATACTTGGATAGTTTTAGAAATTATTATTCATATTAGATGTGCATATTTGTGATATATAAAATTTAACAATTGCTGCTTTGTTGATTTGTACTGTCAGTTTTATTAACTTTATTTTAAAGATTTTATTTACTTATTTGACAGAGAGAGACAGCGAGAGAGGGAACACAAGCAGGGGGAGTGGGAGAGGGAGAAGCAGCCTTCCCCGTGGAGCAGGGAGCCCGATGCGGGGCTCGATCCCAGGACCCTGGGATCATGACCTGAGCCGAAAGCAGATGCTTAACGACTGAGCCACCCAGGCGCCCCAGTTTTATTAACTTTTGAAGGCCTTGAATATTTTAACTTCCAACACTTGAAATTTTGGGGTCACCCTTTGAAAAAGAGTTACCAAACACAATTAACATACTTTATTTACCTGTTTTCTCCCTCTCCTCCTACTGTCTTCTCTCCCTTCACCCTCTATCCCTCCATCTCTCTTTCCTCTCCTTATAACTCACCACTGATGTAAGTATTTAAAACTATCATTGAATGAAGATATATCAGCCAAAACATTAGCCTTGTTTCAACATATCTTTATTCACTTAATAAGTGTTTCTTCACTAATTATGACGTGTACTATTGTGCAAGGCTCTGTTCTAGGTGGGGTTATAAATGATTAAGATAGAACAGAAAAACTGCTTCTGTCAAAATTATTTGAAAATACCACATCATAGGGGTGCCTGGGTGGTTCAGTTGGTTAAGCGACTGCCTTTGGCTCAGGTCATGATCCCAGGGTCCTGGGATCAAGCCCCGCATCAGGCTCCCTGCTCAGCGGGAAGCCTGCTTCTCCCTTTCCCACTCCCCCGGCTTGTGTTTCCTCTCTCGCTGTCTCTATGTCAAATAAATAAATAAAATCTTTAAAAAAAAAAAGAAAGAAAATACCACATCATATTTAAATGAACTCAACAAATATTGATTGATTTATATGATATTATATATATCATATATATATACACACACATGCACATGCACACACATAGAAACATACACACACAAAACATACAAAAAGTCTTATCCTTACGGAACATACATTCTAACAGGTATTTGAAAGTTGTTTTTTTTTTTAATTAAAAAAGCCATGCTCATTTTTCCCTTTTATATACATCATTTATATTACATTGATTAAGCTACGATTATATCTTTATGTAAAAATAAAAATCCTATCAATTATTATTTTAATGTTGGCTAAAGTAGTCATTTATGATTAGATTTTGTACCTGAGAGCAAAGAACTTGCACTTTACTATATGGACAAAGGACTTCTTTATATACCGGTGTGAAAAGAAGCCACAGTCTCATGACATTATCATGGACCATTTTGAACTTTTGGTACAAACATCTTTAATAACTATTGAGTATATTCTATGTATATTCAAGTCTTTAAGGTATAGACAAAATAAAGAGAGGTTATAGTCTCTGATTTGAGAAGAGGTAATTTCAGTCTAATTTCATATGTTAAAACATAAAGACAAAGTGTTAACTAAGTGACAAAACAGAATTAGGAGCTTCAAATAAACGTCTCATTTAGTTTGCAAATTCTGAAGTAGCTGTCATCTTAAGGAAGCTGAGACTTCACTGTTTTCTCAAAAAGTTCAAATGAAGTCACAATAATGGTATAAAACTGTATAAATAAATAAAAGCAAAATGAACAAATTCCTGAGTTTGGTTATAAGGCTTGAGGTAGTATTACTTTTTAAATTATGCACATGTATTTCAGAGAACAAAACTGAGGACTCATAATATTTAAACATTAGGTCCGTCAAAAATAGGGGAATGGGATTCAAGAATGTTAGTTTTAGTACATTGCTTCTGACCTCTTGTTTTCCTCTATTTTTGAAGTATTTAGTTTGAACATTGTGAAGAAGAAAAAAGAAAAGAGTAGTAATGCTGGACTAGAATTAGTCAGGAAAGGTGTTGAGGAGAATTACATACTCTAGACCTGCTCTGCCCAACACAGTAGCTATCTGCCCCTTTTGTTTATTGGAAGACTTGAAATGTAGCTAGACATATTTTTAATATATTAGGTAAAATCAAATATAACATTGAAATAAGGTTTACCTGTTGAATTTTAATTGCTTTTTAATTATTATGCTATGTTAATCACCATACATTACATAATTAGTTTTTTTATTTTTTTATTATGTTATGTTAATCACCATACATTACATCCTTAGTTAGTGATGTAGTGTTCCATGATTCATTGTTTGCATATAACACCCAGTGCTCCATGCAATGCATGCTCTCCTTAATACCCATCACCAGGCTAACCCGTCCCCCCACCCCCCTCCCCTCTAGAACCCTCAGTTTGTTTCTCAGAGTCCATCGTCTTTCATGGTTCGCTTAATGTGGCTATTCTAAAATACAAAGTTACATATGTGGCTCTTATCTGTGGCTCATCTTATATTTTTATTGGATATATTTTACTGGATAGAGGTAAAAAGGGAATAGACAGAAAATAAGCTTCTAGTAAGGAAAATAGGGGACATGGTACACAGGGGCACAAATGATCAAAGATCATGTTTTTATCTGGAGAATGACAACAACCAGACCGGAACTGAAGCTGTTTTGTGTGAGAAGGGAAAGATGAGCATAGTTTGATAGATCAGTTGGAAGTGGTGATGAAACACTTAGGCATTAACAACAACAAAAGACTTCAAGACAGCATGGATCATAGTATGGACTCAATTAGATATAAAAATAGTAAAAACGTTCCATGGTGTTTTTGAGGGATTACCCAAACAATGGTTTTGCTGATTGCAGGTTATATACATGTTAAGAGATATAAGAAATCAACGTGCATAATGTTTAAGCATAAGGCTATGGGTTGTGATTTCCGAATTAGCTAAGTAGAAAAAGAACTGAATATGAAGAGGATTTGAAAAAAACTGAGAACATATGATGGAAAAGAAAGAAAAATAATTGAAAGGATACAGTCCTACAAATTTGAAGTTGCAGTTCTTTTTTTTCCTTTTTTTTATTTTTAAATAAAATAGCTATTTATTCAGCCTCTGGTCATGCCAAAATGTTTTGTGCATATACCACTATAATTAGCACACCCTCTGTAACAGGCAAAATTGTACATCAAATTATATGTTACCTGATTATATAAAAATGTAAAGTGAAAATGATTTATCAATTCCTTTTAACATTACTAGTAAACAGTTCAGCAGTAGATATGAGGCACAAAATCTTAGTAAAATATGACACAGGAAGAGCAATAATGTAATTTTCACTTAACTTGTCATAATTTGTTATGAATATACAAAGAAATTTCTAAAATGTTATATTTACTAAGATTCTGGCAATAGCTTTATGTAACAAGACACAGCATATCAGGCCTGCCACTCAACTTGTTTATGGTAAGTCTCAGCTTCAATATGAAGCTCTTTAAAAAAAAAAAAATCAAAAGCCCACTTTGTTTACATGCTAAGTATCTTGGCAAGTATGCCATTAAACACAGTAAGGAATTTAAGATAGCAAGAATAAGGAGTTAATAAAAGCTAAACATTGCAGCCTAAACAAAATTCATACAAAAATAAAATAAGTATTACGGGTTACATAAAACTTTCCTGACTGGTTAAAACTTAACAGTATAAAACATGCATTTTAAATCTTCAGCTATCAAGTTCAAAAAGTACCAGTGTCTATTTGAAATGATTCTTCTCTAAAGCCAAAGTGTAGTCAAAACTAATTCAAATGTTATAACACATTCTAATGCTAAAAAACATTCAGTATTATTGAAGTGGAGGTAAATCCCAGAGCTTCTGGGGCTCTGTCATGCTGCAAAGGGCTGTTTCTCTGGTTCACTTAAAGCAGCAAACGACAGAGTCCGAGGATGTCTAGGGGCAAGACTGCTATACTCAGCTCTGACCTCCCCCTGAAGCATGGCTACTATGTCCACAAAAATAGGATGTGTGAGGATGAAAGGCACGCTATTCTGCTAGCTAAAGAGATAGCAAACCACCCCCCCGACCCACAAAGCTCCTTCCCCAGGTAAATAAAAGTATATAAGGGGAAAAAATTAAAATATACTTATCTACAGAGTAAGGATTTTGAAATACCAACGTGATGCCTATTTCAAAAATGTTAACTAGAATCATCTGGTCATTGCTAATTACATCTTAATGATGTATCCAGATTTGATTTCTGTTGATTTATCATTAGATACTTCTAGTCAAAAATAGTAACTTTATCCCCAAATATCTTAACCACTGGCACAACCGCAATGTGTTATCTCCCAGAGTTGTTAAGCACTGGAAGAGAAAAAAACAGATGTTCAAGCAGCAGGCAACAGTTATGGCCCTTTCACACAGCAGCATCCGAGTGGCTACTGAATAGTCCAGGAATAATTCTAAAAACAACAAAATTCATGCATTTTAGTAATTACGTCATAATTTTCACAGTTGAAATTTCCTTAGACATTGCACTTTCTTTATAAGGGAATCCTGATTTTTCTCAATGTTACGGCGAGTCAGGACTTGAACTAGCAGCCTTCTTTTTCTTCTTCTTACTGTGTTTCTTATGCTTCTTTTCCTTTTTTGTTTTTTCCTCCTCAATATAATCTGATTCTGATAAGGACTCAGATGATAAAGGTTTATCTTCAGGATACATCTTTCTTTTTTGCTGAGCCCTTTGATGTCCTTTTCTTTCTCAGTTGCATCCTTTGACTTCTTTTCCTTTTTTAAACTATCCTTACTGTCCGATTCAGTTTCTGACATGGAGCTTTCAGAAGATTTATGTGAACAGTTCTTCTTTTTCTTTTTCCTTTTTCCTTGTTTTTAATTCTCATCTTCAGAATCCGAAGAACTGCTGGAAGAATCAGAGCTTGATGAAGAAGAAGATGAATACCTACCAGATTTCTTCTTTTCTTTTTTCTTTCTCTGTGTTTTTTTGGATGAGCTCTCACTTCCACTTAATAATTTCTCCCTGTGTTTTTCTAGTTCTTTCTTCCAGTTCTCATTCATTTTTTCTTCAAATTCAGCCAATGCCTTGGAGCCTTTCTTTTTCTTTTCTAGTTGTTCTTTCACTTCTTCCCAGGTAGGCCTTGGTCGATTCAGATAATCTTGGATCGTTGGCCCCAAAGACTGGATTGGACCCCTTGATCTGGCCATTGCTGTTGGGTTCATATAGGCCACCCGATTGTCCCGCTTCCCCATGGTGCAGAACTGAGAGCACAGTCAGACGCCGAGGGAGGGAGATGGGGCCAGAGAGCGGCCGAAGAGGGCCCTCTGCAGGTCCTCCGGCCGACTCTGAAGTTGCAGTTCTAAATAGACTAGAAATTCTATAAATGATAAAGGAAAATTATAAATAAGTTCATGTTTAAAGGGGAATTCATTTTTTATTTTTTTAAATTTTATTTATTTATTTATTTATTTATTTATTTATTTATTTATTTATGTGAGAGAAAGAGCGCACAAGCAGGGGGGAGAGCAGTGGGAGAGGGAGAGAGAGAATATCAAGCAGCCTCCCTGCTGAGAGTGGAGCCCAGTGCGGAGCTGGACATGGGGCTCAAGGAGGGGCTCGATCTCACAACCCTGAGACCATGACCTGAGCTGAAATCAAGAGTTGGTTGCCTAACTGACTGAACCACCCAAGAAAGGGGATTTCATTTTTTCATACATTAAAGTTTGGTTGCAACCAATTATAAATAAGGAAAGCTAGGAATATGATATTAGAGAAAAGATTAGGAACTATGATGTGTGAAATGCACTTGGGAACTATTTACACAAAAATAAGAATTAAAACTGTAAAAGTAAATTATTTTCATAAGAAATGTGTGAAAACCTCAAGGAGCATTACCTAGAAATATGCCAAAATGTGGTTATGCAGTGATCAAATCAATACATATGAACACACATAATGTGTTAGGCATATTATCACTATTAACAACAAAAGCCCTGCACTGACTTCCTAATATTTTAAAATGATTGGGGACTACTGTATTTGTAGATCAAGAGAAGAAAACAGAATTTTCAAGGAGATGCTAGAATGACCAGATATCATAGCGCAAGAGTGCAGAATGATTAACAATTGATCAAGGGCCATCAGCTTGTCTTTGGATAACATGGTCACCATATTTTTAATTTTTACAAATTTATCGAGGATTAATTGACATACACATAGATGTATGTATGCGGTAGTATCTCATTGTGGTTTTGATTTGTACTTCTATGATAATTAGTGAGACTGAGCACCCTTTCATGAACCTGTTGGCCATTTTTATGTCTTCCTTTAAAAACGTCTACTCAGGTCCTTTACTGAATTTTTTAAATGAAATAATTTGCTTTTTTGCTATTTAGTTGTATGAGTTTTTATGCATTTTGAAGATAAACCCGTTATCCAGTATGTAGTTTGAAAATATTTTCTTCAATTCTGTACATTACTTTTTCAATGTATTGATTGTTTCTTTGCTGTGCAGGAGCTCTTTTGTTAGATGTAGTCCAACTTGCTTATTTTAGTTTTTGTTGCCTGCACTTTTGGTGATCTACCCAAAAAATCATTACTAAGACCGATGTCAAGGATTTTTTTCCCCTGGGATCTTCATGATTTCAGGTCTTATATTTAAGTCTTTAATCCATTTTGAGTTGATTTTTGAGTGTGGTTTAGGATATGGGTCAAGTTTCATTCTTTTGCATTTGGCTGTCTAGTTTTCCCAACACCATTTATTGAGGAAACTATCCTTTTCTCATTGCATATTCTTGGCTTCCTTATTGTAAATTAATTGACCATATGTGCATGTGTTTAGTTCTGGGCTATCTGTTCTGTTCCATTGATCTATGTGTCTGTTTTTATGCCAGTACCATATTGTTTTTGTTTTGTTTTTTTTACATTTCCTTTTTATTTATTCCTTGAAACTGCCGTATTGCAGGTTTCTCATGGATGAAATATGGAATTGAGAAGATTCTTTTTTCTACAAAATTATGGTATAAACTTGCTCAATTTTCTATCTTATTGCTAATAAACCTTACAGGCGTACAGTTTGTAAAATAGTCCCCTTAGGGACTGACTGCATACAGCATGCTGCAAGGTACAAGAAATAAGCTAAAAATGAGCCTATAAACCTACATCTGGACCAACACAGTACTGAATGCTGGCAAACATTTATCACGACACAGAGAAAAATTAATAAAAGGAGATACAGTTCAGTCCTGAAAGGGTTAAATAGAGACCCTAATATATTGTTGTTTCTAATCATTCATCCCACATTACAGTGCTTGAAAACAAAGTCAAAAGTCTGGCACAGAAAATTACACACATTTGTTCAGTACCATATTGTTTTGATTACTGTAGCTTTGTAGTACAGTTTGAAATCAGGAATGTGATGCCTTCACCTTTGCTCATCTTTCTCAAGGTTGCTTTGGCTTTACAGAACCTCTTCTGGCTCCATACAAATTTTAGGGTGATTTTTTTATTTCTGTAAAAAATTGCCGTTAGAATTTGGGTAGGAATTGCATTGATTCTAGATAGCTTTGTGTAGCATGGAAATTTTCACATATTAATTCCTGCAATCCAAGAACTTGGAATATCTTTCCATTTATTTGTGTCTTCTTCAATTTCTTTCATCAATGTCTTATAGTTTGCACTGTCCAAGTCTTTCACCTTCTTGGTTAAATTTATTCCTAAGTAGTTTATTGTTTTTGATGGTATTTTAAATGGGATTGTTTTCTGGATTTCTCTTTCAGATAGTTCATTGCTAGTGTATAAAAATACAACTGATTTTTGTATGTTGATTTTACATCCTGAAACATTATCAAATTTAATTATTATTTCTAGCAGTTTATCCTGTGGTGTCTTTAGTATTTTCTATGTATAAGATCATATCATCCACAAATAATTTTACTTTTTCCTTTCTAATTTGGATGCCTTTTTTTTTTTTTTCCTGGCCTAATTGTTCTGGCTAAGACTTTCAGTACTATGTTGAGTAGAAGTTAGGAGATCGATCATCCTTGTCTCGTTCCAATCACCATATGCTTTTTTATTATTATTATGTTATGTTAATCACTATACGTTACATCATTAGTTTTTGATGTAGTGTTCCATGATTCATTGTTTGCGTATAACACCCAGTGCTCCATGCAGAACATGTCCTCTCTAATACCCATCACCAGGCTAACCCATCCCCCCACCCCCCTCTCCTCTAGAACCCTCAGTTTGTTTTTCAGAGTCCATAGTCTCTCATGGTTCATCTCCCCCTCCAATTTCCGCTTTCACCATACGCTTTTAACAAGCTTTCAGTAAAATTCTGCATAACACATTATCTTTCTATTATTTTCTATTTCTTTTACACTAAAAATATATACTACTTTATTTCTACTAAAATTAATAAAATCTAAGCATGAGTGGGTCAAAAGGAGATATATAAAAGATAAATCATTAAGTAGAATGACACTTCAGAATATGAAAGTGATTTTTAAACACCTAGCAGGGAAAAGATATTCATGTCATTTGGAGTAAGCTGATGGCTTGATGCTCTATTTAATACTATTCTTTAGATAATAACTTTATTATAACTTTGTTAATGTCTGCAGGAAAAATCACTTAAATCTTTTGCCAAAGTACCAGTGCTTGCTTACGTTTAGCAGTTTTCTCACTCCTGTTTTTTTTTCTTGAAGCTGTTTGCATATTCCACAGGCTCATTTGTTATGTTTATCTTTCTTACCATATCTAATTGAATGGAATAGGATGATTTGGCTCATTCTGTGCACAGTGTGGTCTCTTCAGGCATGCTTCTCAACTCATTTTAATATACTAAAAGAAAACCTTATTAATGCAACATAATTTTCAGATTAAAATGTAAACATGCCAGTCTATTTTCTTACCTTTTTTGAACTCACAGGAGTCATGAGACAGAAATTCTTAGGGTCCAATACAAATATCTTTGAAATAAGGATAATGAACTTTGTATTAGAGAATAAAGCTCCAGAATAAGTCCTTTACTTATTCAGGTCATGTGGAGATGCTATGTATCATATTCATCTAATTTACTTTCATACTGTAGCTGCAGTAAAGGAAACAGAAAGACTCTTTGGAAGTTATAACTGAATTTTATCAAAACTCAATAAATAAAAGGAAGGCAGAAACTAAATCAGCAAGTCAAAAAGGACTAAGTAATCAGACATTTGTGGGTTTACTGTATCCATTTCCACCATCCATAGGCCAACATGTAATAGAGGATGATTGTTAAACAATTAGGAGATTAAATTTAAGGAAAAGGAAATGAGATCATAAATTATCTAAATGTTAAAGACTAATTTAATGGCATAAAATGTAGTAATCAGGTCTTTATAATTTCAAATTAAAATAGTAAGCCTTGGACTTACTTGGACTAATGACAAGAAAAAGTTTCCTGCTCCTTTGGAGAGGTTCGAACTTGGTGTTACATACGTGTTTATCTGGTCTGTAGTGGTTATCCCAAGGCTTTCTCTGTAGCTAGAGTACATAAACATGTTTTGTACTGTAATTTTGGTACATGCAAAGCAAGAGGATGGCACAGAAAACCTTAAAGAGGTAAAATAAAGGTACATCTTAAGGTAAAGGCAATGAGAAAACAGGAAGCAAAGAGATAATAAAAATGTCTGTCAACAAAAAGAACATCTGCATTTATGAGGATCTATCAACATGCTATGTCCCTGCTTCCATTTTAGCTCATTTTGGCAGTTGTATTTCAGAAGCCACTCAAGGTTAAAAAGAACCTTGATTTCAAAAGAACTCTCTGTCAAGGTTATTTGAGAAAATAGTCACAGGATAGTTAATCATTGATTTAACTGTAATGATTGTGACTGAAAAACATTTCCTAGGAAAAATAAATTACCTTGTACGAAATAATCCTTTGGCAATATTACCTTGAAATGTACATATTGTAGTTTTGTTGCATTTGTTCAAGCGAGAGCCTAAGGCCTTCTAGTATGCATTTCTGAGATCTCTCTGAGCTTTCTGGCTAAAACTGGGGTTTAATTGATATTAACAATAAGCCTAGCAAATGGACTCTTAGGTCACCAGAGTACTTCATAAGAGCAACATTTTTGCCCAATAAATAGGGTAATTAATATAACTTAGAAACAAATGGAACATACATACAATGGTGAGCTATGTTGCAAGATAAAAATCAATATGATGATCTAATATTCTTCCTGTGGAGATATTAATGTTGTGACCACAGTTTTAAATGAAACTGTAGTTGACACTTACAAGCCAATTTCTGCAATGAATAAAATAATAAGGCACTAAAATTTGTTACAGTGTAAACCCGT